TCTCAATGCTTTGGTTTTGAAAGGTCATCAAACAGAAATTTGATTCAGGATAGCTTTACGTCTCATCAGTCAACGTACTATTCAAGAGCTTGAAACATGTCGGATAAACGTAGACCGTCTCTTTTTCTCCAGCTCTCTGGTGAATTCACAAATAAAATTTTTTATCTAGCTGCAGCATCAGCTGATTTTATGCGTTCAATTTGCGCACCATTTTTGAAAGGGAGAGGAAAGCTAGAAAAAAGAGACGTTTTAGATTCAATGTGCCCTGTGATACGTGCAGACAATCAGGCATATTTCTTCACTCTGTAGCAGAGATTTCTTAACAAAAACGCACATGTTTTTAGCCAAAATGCCATGTATCTCTAAGTAGAGGGAGCTAGTGTTGAGTAAAATAAACTTGTGGCTTTTCAACAAAGAATGAAGATATTTACTATCACTCCACCTCGCTCTTGGCTTTCATGTGTCGACGGAGCAAGACTTTTTGGACTGGGAAAGCGTTGTGCACCAACGCTTTGTATACCATTCGATAGCTAAGAACATGAGGAAACAACATAGAAAACCGATAGTGTAAAACCAAATGCAATGATTGTCATGAAATCTTGTATCGTGGCAATTGTATTCTAACTTCTCATTTGTTTCATTATAGACCGTCTGTTTTTCTTGCTTTTCTTTGCGAGATACGACCATTTATCTAGCTCCACTATCAGCCAGTTCTGGGTGACTATTTCATGCTTTATTTTTGAAACCAAGAATGTCTTCTTCGAAGTTTTATACATGATTTAAAAGCTTCAGAACGAACAATCTAACTCCTCTTTTACTTGTTATTATTCTTTCTAGTGAAGGGAGAAATGGTACGATTCTTGTCAATAAACATGCATCCATCACTAGCTAGTCCAGTTTTAATCGTGCTCAACTCTTTTTTGCGACAGTGTGTATTCATTAATACAAAGTTAATTATCCAAAGAATTAGACATCCTTTTTTATGATTATGTTTCGTTATCAACTCCTCTTTGAGTGCGACAGAAGGTCTCAAGCATGCGTTTTTTAACAAGACGCTGTTGCTTCGATGCTCTCCTGCAGTCTTGAAGTCTGAGGAGGAGAGCGGCTGGCGTTTCCATTTCAAACAAGAGTGCCGTTGTAACAGCTGTTTAATTCTGCCGTTACGCCTTGATTCTAGTTTCAACCTCAGGTGAAAGGGGTTATCCAGATGCCGGTTTTAAAGTGAAGGGGGTCAAAGAAATTTCTCTACCTATCGCATCTAAAGATAAGATGTGCTTGCATCGCCTAATGGGCTTATCTGACATTGCTAACGATTATCATGTTATCGCTAACCTGAGTTTCACCTCCACAACCATGCCACACGCTGTGTGTGACCCTGGTTATGAGCTTTCTACTGTGCGGAACTGGCAGACTACTTGGGACTGTCTGTAGAGAAAAATTCTCCCGAAAATGTGCCGAGTTATCGGTACAACATCAAATCGAATCTGTTCTCACTAACAAAAAACTTAACGCAAGTGTATTAGCATTCAGACGGGTCGATGACCATGCAAAATCTGCATAGAAAAAGCCAATAGCTTTATCCAGATTGATGAGCCGCAGCTAGGAATAGCATATTTGAGATCAGCGTTCAATGCTTTTTCACAATGTTGTTTCCTGTTGAAAGGCGAAGCTAAATTAGGTGCTTTCCTTTGTAAGTAAGTTTTGAACAACTTCCTCAATTCGAATTAACGTTTTGAAGCGGGACTTAAAGGCAGTGGGTCGGCAGAATGAGACCCGTGGCAAAACAAGGTCACAGGGGTAGGAGCCCCCATGATGGGACCTATAGGCCAAAGTTCGATCTTTCTCTGCCACTCCTAACCCCCGAAATTTCAACGCGAAAGCAGCGCTCATCTCCTTTACTCTCCGACCCCGCCCACCCCACGGACGAGTGACGGAAGTCCGCCATGGCGAAGATACAGAGTCGTTGCGAGACCTCATGCTTACACCATTACGGCTGCGCGCTCTGACCGTGGAAGTCACTCGTCCATGGGGTGGGCGGGTTCGGAGAGGACAGGAGATGAGCGCTGCTTTCGCTTTGAAATTTCGGGGGTTAGAAGTGGAAGAGAAAGACCGAACTTTGGCCCATAGGTTCCATTATGGGGGCTCCTACCCTGTGATCTTGTTTTGCCACTGGTCTCATTCTACCGACCATTGCCTTTAAGCAGTCACTCTGTTAAGGCCTCGCTATTGTACATTAAAATCTGCCCACTGTGATCTTGTCTGGACGATGTCTTTGGCGCCAAATTACAAGCCCATACAATCATCAAACACTATATCGTACAAACATATGTAGGCAACATCTGTTTTCTCTTGCTGGCATTTCCATTCTAATGACGGCCAAGATCTTGAAGAGGACGTGCCAAAACTGCAATTACAGAGGTGCTGCTTCACGAAGCCGTTATGCGCAATAAAGCAACCAGCTTGTCAACAGCGCACAGAAATTTGTAAGCCAAAAAATAGGGTGGAATCGCAACAGAGGCTAAAGGGAATGAAAAATGTGGAAAAGCGTGTGAAGCGCCAAAATGTTAGGGTGATCGGTAAAAAATGGGGCACCTAGAAAATAACTGTAGATTTCTCAAAGAAAAGTGATTGAACTTCTTAATTTTGATAGATGTTAGACTGAATTATTCTCTTTCAGAAAATACCTACATAAGGTCATTTACATACCTAATAATTTTTATAGTGGCTGAAATGCAAAATTAGTCACTTTGACAAATTATAAACTTCGGGCAGTATCTGCGCAGTGAAACATGCGAAACCATCCAAAGTACTACTGCTGCAATGCGTGAAGGTACAGTCACCAGATTCACGATAGGTTGCTGGCCTCAACTTTAATTCAGGAGATATGGCCATTAGCAGCTTTGAGAACATAGATACGTGCTATTCAATTCTTTGCAGGTGAACGCATGCTTTATAGATGTTATTTGAAAGAGCCTTTTACGCTCTATCCATCCATATGCAGTTTAACTCACATTTTATCTATCTTCGGAAAATACAAATTGAAACTTGATTTATCGGTTTTTGTTGCGCCAAGAAATCGCGATTTTTCAGGTATTTCGCTTTTTTTACCCAGAAATAGATAGAAATCCTGTATGTTCAATACATTGTTCGAAAGAGCATGAAGAGCTCTTTCGAACAACATATCAGATGCTCTATAACTTTACAGTATGGCAGCGCAAGAATGAGCGATGTTCAAAAAAACCTGTTCGAGTTCTTCAAGGCGCCACGTGTAAGGTTTTGGGAGAGGAGCGTTGACGCTTTGCCAGAATAATGGGCGAAGGTCGCTTATATAAGCGACGTTGACGTTGCAGCCTGCTTATTGTTGATCGAGACAAAAAATCTCAAAATTCAATAAAAATCAAGCTGCCCCATTTTTTGCCCATCATCCTAATAATAACTGTTTTTTTGTTTACAAACCGCGACCATTAAACCAGGCGACCTTGAGTATATCCTTTTTTCGCAATGCAAACTATCCAGCATCTCCTTCACAATCTTTTCAACAGGTTGGAACATAAGTCTTTAACCAAAATAGCTCAAATTGCAGTAAGTCTCATTCCTCTTGCATTCCACCTTAGTTCCAATGTACCATTCCATAGAGGTAAGCCCTCCACGATGGTGTTCAGAGTTTGCACCCTTTGCTCCTTGCGAAGTTTCAGGGAAGAAACTTGATAGATGCAAACATCTTGAAAATTGAAAAAAAGTTGGAACCCAGGTGAACAATCAAAGTAAAAGTCTGAATTGCTCATGCTTGTATACAACCCACATCAAACATCCACATATGCAGTTGCCGTGATTGTACTCTGCTAAAAGCCAAGAACAAGAATTCTTGGGTTTTTGCTAAAGCAGACTGGGCCGTTTTTGTTGACAAGAACTTAGAAGATTTGGCCCTCTACAAAAGCTCGCCTTTACAAAATATAAAATTTAGCTTCCTTTTGCATATTTGTATGCCCTTCTTATTTCCTAACGTCCCAACGCTTCACAACAGAATTTATAGCATCAAGTATTAGGAGACATATTTAGCGTTCAAAAATATCTGTTTGATTATTCGAAGGGCTGTAGGAATGAAGTAGCAGATTGCTGCCAAAATAATGTGCGAAGCTCAGTTTGTACCAAAGCGTTCACATTGCCGGTCGTCTATCATTAATCAGCAGGAAACTCTTCAAAGATGTGACAAAAGCTGTTCCATTACTTTTGGACAATCTAATAGATTGAATCGTAAAGATAGAGTAGTCTTTTTTATCTGGGCAACATGCAGAGCCTTGCAGATATGAGTTCTGCAATGTTACGTTTGATAGTCCACATAGATGACTTTCTACGAACGTTCACATCATGAAAAATCTCCGATTCAATCAAATAAGAGTGTCATCCAGTACCAGTCGAGCCTTCTGTGTACTCTCAGGTGATGAGGGTATGTGAGTGCAAATAAGGACTGCAGTGAAGAAATTGCGAGGTTCCATATGGGAATAGGGCTCATAAACAAACATCTATTTTCTATCAGCACTTTACTGAAGGTATGTCAGCGTAAAGGATGATGGTTGGTATGTAATTCCAACCTCCAAACGAATTGGCAACTTAGCTTAGCATACAACTCCATAGAGATACAGAGATGGAGAGCGCGCTTGGGAGTAGTTGCTCATTATCCGGGACTAAATTAATTGACTGCCATTCTAAAGTCCATTCTAAGCAATATAAAAAGGCTGGCTGATTGTGTTACCTTGAAATGAGGCGCGCTCTCAATTTCATTGTCAGTTTCCCCTATCATTTGTATCTGCATATGGCCAACCTACTTGTGAATTCAGGTTCTGCTTAGTCTAGCGCTATGCGCAAGTGGACGATCGCACAAAGGAAAAGTTCAGGGGAGCATCCGCTTTTACAGACCGAAGCCCGTGACAAAACCGTCATGTATCTCGAAGAAAAATGATTGGATGAATCACCGTCTCCAAAGTTTTATTGAAAGCAAAATGAAGATAGACAACGTCACCAGTGAACGGCTAGAGGCACTCTTGATGAAATCGGTTGGTCATGTTTGTTTGCCCAAATTTTAGTACAGGTAGCGAAACCCCCTGGAGACAACGTCGAAAATTTCAGTTACATTTGTGCCCGCTCGCAGAAGTAGCAGAAGTGGGTAGAAAGTACAGAGGCTTTTTTCCCGGCGTAAAAGCGTTCAGACACAAGTTTAAGAAGTAAGCAATAAATCAAATCTTAGTTTCTCAACTTTTCTATTGATCGACCTAGCTGGCGGAGGCAAACCTCAAAGCAGAAATACCGCGAGTTTGAGAAGATATACGGACCTAAGATTTTGAAGGTAAATCTAGTTTCTGTTTTTGGTCTTTGTTTTTAATCGTAACTTTGGTCCCATGGAAAACTTATGAACTACGGCATTTGCTATTTCAATACTGAATGACCAATAATTTCAGTATCGCCCCCTGCCAATCCTTCCGGCAGGATTCGCTGTGCTACCCTTCGGCTGCATTTGGGATAAATATGAGGTGAACTGCATCTTCGTGACCAAAGACTTCTTCAGATTCATAGTCCTAATATCGGAATCTGTGGAACCGATGCAATTGCAAGAGCTGATCCCATTCCTGAAAAAGCCTGAACTCCTTGATCTTTCCCTTTTCATAAGGTGAACTCTATTCGTAAAGAATGAAAGTATGTATGGTCTTGAAGCTGCAGTAAATGTTTTCAATCTGTTGACGTCAACATCATAACAAAAGTTACATAGTCGTGTATAATTTTTTTTATTTTTAAATTTTTTCGCTCATTGGACAAATTCAGTTGTCCGATAAAAATGAATCTTTTTTGATTGCTCAGCTTTTTCGACCTCGAAAAAAGTAACTTGACGCGGGAGGTCCAATTAGTCGAAGTGGCCTCTCCAAATGAGTCTTATACCACTTTGAAGAGCATCAAACGCTGATCCCAAATTTGATTTCATTACCTGCCGAGCCTTCTGCATGCCGAATTATGAATATTTTCTTGGTGCGAAAAATGAACGCATATTTGAGTAAAATGAAATTTTACGGTCTTTTCAGCGCTCAAATAGAGCAGTGTTAAATATGAGTGCTTTAAACAGAAGGTATTAATCAGATCAAGTGCTTTGATAATAAACATTGGACCATTGGGGCAATTCTCACGAATTTTGTCCTGATTATGCATTCAATTTCTCAACTCAAAAAACGCTCAACTCGACGTCCAGAGGCTCTCGGCATATAACGAAGACAGATTTGGAATCAGCGTTTGATGCTCTTTATAGTCGTATCATTTTCATGTCAAAAGGCCACTTCGACCCAAAAGAACTCCCTTGTGAGTAGAAATATTCTTTAAACATTATTTTCCAAAGAGTTACTGGCTTTCGGGAAAGAAAGTTCCGCCCAATGCGGAAACTGAGAAAAGGGCAGGAGCATCGTCGTGATTTAGAAAAAAGATCTAGCGCACAGAAACATCGCTGCAGCAGGTCTGAAAAAACATCCGGCTAAATCTCTACTAGAAAGAAAAGGCGACCTCGAGAAAGGTGTGGCCAACTTTAAATATTTTAAACGTCGACTGCTAACCCACCGAAATGTATAAGAGGGTAAATCGGACGGTGCGAAAACAAGATTAGTGAAAACAGTCTTTCCGTCGCTTTTGCGATCCAGTTTCCAGTTCATAGCTTATTTTAAAAGTCCCAAAGCCCTCGCTAACGCTTATCGCTCGAACTCGAATTTATCAAACGTCTATAATTCGCAGTATGACAGCCGGCGAACAGGAACAGGAGCATGAACTAAGGAAAGAGACGCGAGAGAGAAGCAAGGGCAAAAAGTATACAGGAGTGGGTGCTGAACGAAGAAGATTGCGGCAGATATTCTGAGCTTCCGAAAAGACGGGATCCAGGAAACCCCTGAGCATGCCTTGTTTACCTGCTGGTCCTCTTTGAAATATAACTTTCTCCGAAGTTTTCATTTTCTTTGATAGATGTAGTTTGACCAACAAAAAGCCTCCTTCATGGCTTTTTGCCAATCATTTCATTTTCTTGATCTCTTATGCATGAACGAAACCTGAAATGATATCCACGATAGTACACTTGAGAATGAGCTTTTCGCGAATGAAACGCGAATAAAATGGGCTTAGTCCGTGCGGTTAAGATATCGCGCTCGCGAATTTATTCATTCCATACAACAATGCTTTAGCAAACCCATTTTTACTTGTTTCGACCACCTTACTCATCCTTGTAAACTCATTCCAACCATACTAGCCGATATTGACAATTATCACGACCTCAGTCGTAAATATTCTATTTCCTCCATCCCTTTACATCTTATAAAATGTACATTTGCTTTTCGAGACTTCTTTTATGAATTTGCCCTAAACCAAGTTGTAGACTGCGAAACCGCAGAAAGCAAATTTTTGCTATAATTGCACTGTAAAAACGCTAAGATTCCTTACTGAAAGGAAAAACCTTGGAGCACGTACAACCCAAAAGCTTCCATTTCGAAATCAGAAAAAATACAGATTAAAGTTTAAAAAACAAAATAAAATATTAGATTGGACCAAAAGTTCGTTCGCACCAAATTCAAAAATTCACAGCTTCCGGTTTTCAAAACGCATTTGTGTTTTTATTTTTATTTAAAAGAGCAATTCATTCTCTTCATAGCTTTGTCTTAGCGGTGTTCTAATGAGCATACACTGCATAGATATAAGCGGTAGAAAAAAATTACTCAAATTCTCGATATTCTGTGTTGGGTCATAAAAAATCTGAAAACCGTATTAAAAATCGGAGCGGTCAGTATTATAGCCTCTTTCGCCAGCACTTTCTAACAGTGCAAAGTTTCTGCTGAGTTTTCTATGAAATGTTATGATTTTTGAGAAAAATGCCAAAATAAATCAAATTTGCCCTTCTGTATTGCTTGCTCGAAAACGATCAACTAAAAGTTTCTCGATTGGCTTGAGAAAGGAACAATATCCTCCCAAATGAGCAGTGCGATCTCGTTTTCTTTGAATCAACTGGCCCTGATATGTGATTTAGTCTTTAAATGGATTACATAGCAGAGCTGCATTCTATAACAATAATATTGGGTAAACCGATATCGTATTTATTGAGTTTTCGAAAGCTTTTGATAGAGTAGACCGTAGCAAGTTACTGCCAAAGCTTAGAAACTAGGTTCTTCGAAGCCAATTACTAGTGTGGATCGTTTCTTACTTACGTGAAAGAGGCATGACGGTACAAGTCGGTAATCAATTTTCGAAACCCTACTGCTTCAATAATGAAGTACTTCAAGAGAGCATACTGCCGCTTCCTTTTCCCTTGCATATATTGCATATTCACCTGACTTTTTGAAGACACATCCTGACATTAGAGTAAAAATGCTTGTCAACGTTATTAAAATCTATTTCTGCTACGAAAACAATAGGCGAAATATAGCAATCCAGTTGTCATTCAACGGATAGTTGCTTCCGAAAAATGGTCCCTGCCAGTGAATGCGCTAAAATCTAAAATAATACACCTTCGTGATATGCAATGCCCGTCTTACAAATGTGACGCTATCGAGCCTAGATCTTGCAACCTGACGAAGGATCTCGGTCTAGTCGATAAGCAGCTTAATTCCACCCAACACTATGGTTCAATTTCCAAAAAGAGCTTTTAACTTTTCTGCGAAGCATTTCATTTATTGATCCTAACAAGGAATGTTCAGAAGTCGAAATGGTCAATCCAAGCAAGCTGCCTACCATTAGATGCAGCATTGATTGCAGCACATATAGAATTCATTGCAGCAGATATGGAATACAGATTCGAAATCAGCAACGCTTTGAAGAGTTTGAAATACTGAAGGATCTGTATTCCATATTTGCTTAGCGCGTTTGTGTACGAAGCTATGGGCAGTTTAATTGCGAAGAAAATCGTACTTAAAAATTGAGAAATTGAGCACATTGTTGCACTTTAAGCTCACCTTTGAGCTTCAAGAATTCAAAGTGATTTAGCTGTTTTGGCTCAGCATCAAGCCGAATCTGGTTCTGTACTGCCAAATTTGCGTTTTGCATGCAATATTTTTAACGAAATAACTGCCTTCAACGGCTTATAACTTCGCTCACATAGGCGCTAAGCAGATATGAATTACAGATTCGAAGTCAGTGTTTGGTACATCTAATGGTGTGCAGCCTGTCTGAATTGGCCGCTTTGATTCCTGACCATTCCTTTGTAAATTGCCGGCGAGAACATATAGAATACTAGCTGGAATACCCGGCTCCGCCCGGCTTTGCGAAAACACTATGATAGAGATCACCATCCCTGTAGCCTTTTTCCTTATGACCCTCTTTACCATCGTGATTTGAAGAAGTTGAAATACTGAAGGATCTTAAACGACTTAGTATTCTGCTTCAGAGTTATTCCGCCAGAAACGAGGTCAAGACCCAGAAAGTATCTGGGTTTTTGCACATTGTAGCAGTCAAGTAGGCGCTCAATATGTGCTATAAATAGCCGAAAAGTACAAAAATTTTTCACAACATTCATCCTTTGTTTTCCGAATATCGAGATGGCTCAGCCTTTTAACAAGTGATATTGCAATTTTTCACGAGTGAAGTGTGAGCCGACTGGCGCCAGCGACAGAGCAATACAAGACCGACGTCCTCGACTCAAAATCATGGAAGCCACTTTACCTAAGGGCATATGCATCAACTTACCCGCAGCGAGGGAGCGACACCCTGATTGTAGAAGATTGCGGAGGTGTTCGCTTGCGTCCCAGCTGACAGCTAGGCGACGCTGCTCACTTATCTTTGATTCAACTGGTTTAGCTCCGTCAGGCCAGGCCGCTCGCGCCCGCGACGCACCTGCGTCTCTCGCGCGCGAGTGCTCTCTGGTCATTACCTAGCCTTAATTAGGTCACGAAGCCCGCCTTTGCCGAAGCTCAGCCAGTTGAATCAATTATACCTGCAGAGCAGGGTCAAGCTTGTGATGCGACTGTCGCAACGGGGGGTCGTAAAGAGGTTAGCTAAGGTGGAGGGGGGGGGTCGTAAGAGGAGGTAGTTAGGCTAAAATACCCTAAGCTTGAAAGGGAATCAAAAAGCAGATAATTAGTTATGTTCTTTACAATAAATCTACAGAAAAGTGGAAATCAGAATAAAAAGATAAAAATCCTGTAGAAATTCTCAAAAAAAACATTTACAAGAGCTCAAAACACTTTTGAAAGATGTATGAGTTGATAGAAAAGCTAAATGTACCGATTGCCCTAAAAATCTTGCCTCTGAAGCCTTCCTGAAGTCTCACACACTCAACAAAAGCGAATATTTTTACCAGCTGTGACCATCATGAATTTCTAAATCTTTTGTAATGTTTTTCAAGGACCCATATGATTTATCTATACTTTGGAGATTCTTTACTATATCAGTGCAAAATTTGGTGTCATTTTGTTAACTGTGGACTTTTTTATGATTTTATATATGGTAGCAAAAAATGAGAAAAGGGGGGTCGTATCTGCGCCTGATCTAAATTTCTCCGGAGCTATTGAAGCTCGTTAGCTGCAAACTTGCTGTAATACGAGGCCATCCCTCTAGTTTTTATCATAAGAATTTCAGGCTGTTTTATAACTTCTTTGGTAAGTTACAAAATTTTAAGCTCAAAAATCCCAGTTTTTGCTTTTTAGGATCGCATCTAAATTCG